CCCCCGCCCCGTTGGCGTCTTGGTAAAGGCAGGGGGAGGACCTGGGAAAGGGCCAAAATGCACAGCGCAGGGGACAGGGGAGGGCCCGGGCTCTGGGCTGCTGGGAGGGAGGAGGAGCGCCGCGGGGACACTGTCCAGCTGCCGCCTGCGCCCTGGGAAGGGCCTCCTCTCCCGCGTCCTCTCCGCGACCCTCCAGCAGCTCAGGGCCCAGGACGTGCGGAGGGACGCCCCCTTTCCTACGGGGAGCCTTGCCAGCGCTGGTGACCGGCCCTGAAGCCACCTGCCAAGGACAGCTCACACCTCCCCCTGCAGGGTCCGGAGATAGGGAGTTGCCCGTGGACTTGTGCACCTGTCCGACAGGTGCCCCAGGGCATCTTCCAGGCGACCCAAAAACCGATCGTCCCCACCCAGCCCGGCCTGGCTCACCACCTCCTGGCATCTCCCTTAGGAAAGGATCCAACCCGCTCCAGGGGAGTCCTGAGACCCCTGAGTGTCCCTCTGCCCTGCCGCCCCCCAGCCTGACCCCTGTCCACCCCGGCCGCGGTCCCCACCACTGGCGCTGCGCACCTGTCTCCCCAGCCAATCAGGACAGCGACGGCCTCGAGGCGGGGAGGTGGGCGGGGCCGGACTGACCCGGACGCGGCTCGCGGGAACTTCTGTGGCTGGTGACAGTGTTCGCTCTCCTGGGACTGCCTGGGCTGCCCCGGCGTAGGCAGTGAGGAAGATCCTGCGAGTGTAGACGTCAGGTGTGTGCATCGTGTGTGAGTCCGTTGGATGCAAGTTTTACATCCAAAGAAAAAAGATGTACAACTTTCATACCTGGCTTTGCAGCCCTCCGCCACGGGACAACCAGGCACCTTCTGAGAACTGCTGTTCGTTGGCTTGTTTTTGTGAGTGACGCACACAAACCTGGGTGGGATCAAACCTGGGTGGGGTCGCCTGCGCCCTGGGCTGGTGGCAGAGCCTGCGCAGAGCAGCGACTGGAGACTCAGCTGTAAAGCGATGCTAAGAATTTGGGTCTCTAAGCACATGCAGACGTAGCGGAGGTACAGAAAAGGGCTTAAGGACAGACAGTTCTCGGCCCTGCCCCGTTAGAATCCACCCTGTCTAGGCAGCCTATCACTGCCCACAGTGTCGCCCCAAATGTCCTTAGATGGTGCAAGATCGTACTTTGAAATGTCACAGAAATAAGGAGGACGATGTGATAAAACTAGCTTAGTAAAGGCCAAAGCGGGTATCTAGGTGGCCAGGTGCGATGTTCCCTGTGAGCCCCAACCCCAGCCCCCTTAGCTGCAGGAGGAACATTTTTATAACAGACTTTGGGGGAAATGTCTCCTGCCCTGGGACCGACTTCTCTGTTCCTCATTCCCAGCTGGTGCCCTCCCGGCTCACACCCCCAGGTTCTCCCCTGGGAGATGCCTTCAGGCAGTTGCTCCCAGGGGCTGGAGCTAGGCCTCTGTCTAATTCTATGGCTGCATTTTTACCACGTCAGAAATACCTGTCTATACCAGGAAGCACAAACGTTTCTGAATTCCTACATGTAGGGGCTAGCTGAGGCTCCTGGGGTAGAAATTGCTCATTGTCATTGAATTTGCCTTCTTCTCTTCTTCCTAAGGAATAGAATTTTTATCCGGGGATATGACCACACAGAAATAAGGACTCCATATCCCAACCTCCTTCACAGCAAGCTGTGGCCCTAAGATGTGCAGCAAGAGGAGGGACTACTTCTGGAAAAGTGTCCTTAAAGATAGGGGTCACAGCTGGGCATGGTGGCACACGCCTGTAATCTCAGCAGCCTAGGAGGCTAAGACAGAAGGATTGTGAGTTCAAAGCCGGCCTCCGCAACAGCGAGGTGCTAAGCAACTCAGTGAGACCCTGGCTCCAAATAAAATACAAAATAGGGCTGGGGTGTGGCTCAGTGGTCGAGTGCCCTGAGTTCAATCCCTGGAACCTACTATCCCCCCCCCCAAAAAAAGATAGGGAGACAACATTCTTCACCCCTTTCTCTTTTCTGCTGAGTGAGGACACGATGGCTGGGGTCACACTGGATCAGGAGGTGGTAGCCATGTGTACCCTCTGACACCGGGGTGCTCCTTACCAGACTGGGCCACCTATCACTGGACTTCCATGAGACAGGGATGGTAACACCCTCTTATTGAAAACACGCCTTGGGACTTTTGCTTGCTAGTTTGTTTTTGCAGTATTTGATGGAGCCCAAGGCCTCAGTCAAGCTAATTAAGCACTAATCTGGGTTTTCTGTCACCCACAACTAAACCCAGTCCTGACATACCAACTTCTCGGTCTGAATGCTTTGATCCTTGTGTTTAAAATGTCTGTTAGGGCTGAGGATGTGGCTCAGGTGGTAGCGCGCTCGCCTGGCATGCATGAGGCACTGGGTTCGATTCTCAGCATCACATAAAAAACAAAATAAAGATACTGTGTCCACCTAAAACTAAAAAGTAAACATTAAAAAAGTCTGTTAAGCCAAAATTCTTGATACTAAGAGATCTGTGAGTAAAAGGGTGTGTTGGGCCGTTCCGGGCACCCGCGGAGCTCCCTCGGCTCCTGGCTGCAGGGCTGGAGGGTGTGGGAACTACATCTGCTACATGTCAAGGGCTAAGAGTACTGTTAGAAGGCAAATCTGGGAAAGGAAAGCATAATGGTTTACACCCAACTTCCCCTGGCCCCAGATGGGATCATGCAAAGGGAGGGGGAGCTTTGGGATGGGAGGATCTTCCCTAAAGGGAAGCAACTGTTGCTTCCGGATCTGTTGGGGCGAAGGGTGAGGAATGTTGACCTATGAACAGGGCCGGTGGTCCTAGTGGTCAGCCACATGGGGCTGAAGGGTTTCAACGTACATTAGCAAATGTGAGGCAGTGTATTTCTGGTTTGCCCGTGACCATTAACGGATTACCTTCCCTTATTGCGCCCCCTTCATCCTCTGGCCCTGGTAACTAAATTTAGGAGATCTCAGAATTTCCCCTCTATCATAACCTTTCCTCAGTTTGCTCATAAAAAACTCCTATTGATTCCTCAAAACCCTGCTCGGGTCACCGTTTCCCTTAGGTGTTGCTCGGTAGAACTAATTATTAATTATTTCCTCCTTCACGATTTCTCTGTACCTTCCACATGTGCAATTATGGAGCACTTATTGCATACCCGGACCCTCACTGAGTGCTGTACCCGCACCCTCTGTTTTAATCCTCACTAGGCATTTGAGATGGGTCATTATTTTAAAACTTCTCACTTTACAGATTTGGAAAGTTAGGATACTCTTCCTGAACCACAGAAATAGAGAGCTTGGGACTGGGGCTGCAGCTCCGTGGCAGAGCACTAGCCCTAGTGGGAGCAAGGCCCTGGGTCCCACCTCAGTCCCACCCCCGCCCCACCCTCCCCCACCCCACACGCACAGAGCCTGGGGGACCAGGGCCTCCTCTTCTAACTGCCAACCCCACCCCCAGCCACCCTCTGGGGAGGGGCCCTGCCTGCACATCCGTCCCTCCTAGGGCTCAGGGGCAGGTGTATTCACCTTGCTTCCCCGACACTGACCCCATAAAGAGACACCTGCCAGGTGAGCCCAGGCACGGTGGGACCGAAGTGCCCAGTCGGAGCCCCCAAGTGCCTACTGGCACACAAGGTCCTTCCTGGTGGCTCTCCTCTGCCCAGTCCCTTCCCCCGGGCGCCCCCAGGGCACCTGCGGGCGGGCCCCCCCACCTGCACACGCAGCCGCAGTCGCCTGCGCCTGCCCTCTCCACCTGGCCTGGGGCTGCCCTCTCGGCCTCCCTGGCCCTTGGCTCACACGTCCCCACGGGAATGTCTCCTCCGCTTGACCTGCGGCCCTCGGGAGCCAAGCCCAGGGTTTGCCCTTATCATTTTAACACCTGGGCAGGCAGCCCTCGTCTCCAGGCGCGGTGAGCCTGGAGACCCTCGAGAGCGCACGGTGGTGGACCCAGCGGCCCAGGTGGGCGTTCCTCCTTGTGGCCACTAGGTGGCAGCAGGGCCCCCAGTTGTCGGCTACCCGGGAAAGGCCTCCAAGGTCAGTGTTTGCCCTCCCCCCACCCAGCCCGGAAGCCAAGACCTTGGGGGACTCAGTACAATAAAATAAGCTTTCAAAGAGCTGATTGGCCGCTCTTTTGATAGGTAGTCTCAAGGGGACAAGAGGCAAAAGGTCTGAAAATTAGACCCCTTCCAGACTTGCAGGCCGACTGGGTTCCTCTTCGCCTTGACATTTCCTGCCTGTGGGATTTTGAACAAGGTTCTTAACCTCTCTGTGTCTCAGTTTCCTAATGTGTAAGTGGGAATTACAATGTCCCCCGTGGGGAGGCTCAGGGCCCTGGCATGCCGTGAATCCCCGGTGGGTGTTTGTGGCTTTTACACCCTGCCCCCAAGGGGCTGGCAGGGTAGAAATGGCACAGAGGTGAGAAGTTGGGCGAGTGTTGAGGCCAGAGAGCAGAGAAGGTCAGGGAGGGAAGCAGGATTCCTGCAGGGGGCGCTGTTCCCCCCACAGGGACCTGGAAGGAGGGGTGCACAGAGCCCCCAGGCTGGGAGGGCCTGGGAGGGGAAGACTGTGTCCCAGGCCACACCTGTTCCCTGGGCCCTAGGAGCC